TTGAGTCTTTGCTTATTGTTTGCATGACTCTTTCCTGAGTTTCCGGTTCAAGCTCTTCAAACAGAGCTTGTCCATATGGAATAAGCTCGTTTCCAAATATATGTTTTTGTAGCCATTCTGGTTTTCTTTCCACGTAACCAATAATATCTTTTGTGAATGGGAAAGCTTTTACCCAATGTTTCAGTCTTGCGTCATTTATTTCTGTAGTTGGTTTTTTTTGTCAAGGAACATGTTTTTCAATACTAACATTTCATTTGGTACTGTCCATTGAGTTTTCTTAAATATTCATCCCTTCTCAGTTCATTGTCTGCAAAGTAAGTTTTTATGACATTTTGCAAACTTTCGTTTGCAAGGTCATGTACAATAGGTTCTCTTCCTTCTCTCTCCCTAACTCTCTTTCTAAACTCTTCACCAAATATACCATCTCTATGGTTCTGTGTAGTTCTTTGAGATAAATGTTCTAGAACGTCAGGTGTTATATTTCCATCAGCCATGTTCATTTCATACTGGTCCAAAATATCTGCATCTTTCATATCTTTCAATGGCATTAAAGCCGCGCTGAAAATACCAGCTATATCTGGTTCACCATTCACTTCCATTGCGTCTACAACTTCTTGGAATTGAGGTTGTAAGTTTATGAACCACCTATCCGGATTAGCTTTATGACCCCATCTCATTGTAGTTCCATAGTCTGCAGAAACAAAAGTAGGTTTGTTTCCATATTGGTTAGGTTCTGAATGAACTTTAAACAATGTTTCATTTCTATATGTTTTGTTGAAATTTAACCTTTTATTTTCACCGAGTTCAGCCAAAGATTGAACGTTATATGGTCGTAAGTAAAAAGGATTATTGTATTTGCGTACATTTTCTTTCAGTACTTCCATTCTATGCTGAATATTTTCATCTGATGTTGGAGTCTTTTGTATGTCGGTGAACATTTTTCGATATTCTTCTACTATGTCAGCCGAATTTTTCTTAGACTCTTGGAAAGATTCCATATTCTCCGCATACACTTGTTGAGTGTCAAGATTTTTCGGCTGTTCCAAATCTTCATCTAGTTCTGTGAAGTTAGTTTCCAAAGGAGGGACTTGTTCGTTTCCTTCAGGCTCTTCTAGCTGTTGTTGCTGAACTATTTCTTCCATGTCTGGTTGTATCTGAACTTCTTCCTGTTGAGTTTCTTGTACCTCATCTGCTGGCATTTCATATATTCCGAGACCGTTTTTAACAAGTTCCCTATCTAAGTCATCCGGACTCATAAACCTTTCTTCTTTCGTTCCGTCTCTATTTTTTACGCGTTTCATGAAGAGAGTTGAATTATCATTTAGCTCTGACATCAAATATCTCGGAGTAAATTCATCCATGTCATTTGGATGATATGCTATTAAATCATATCCCTTTGCGAGCTTGTATTTTCCAGGTTTGAGATTATATCCGATTTTATGCTGAACCATAAAGCTAAATAGGTTCGGGTCAGTATTTCCTTCCTTGAACTTTCTAATAGCTTCTTTATATCTGTCACTAAAGTCAAGAGTATCTGGGTAACCATAATTTTCCTTAAGCATTTTTAAGAATTCTTGGTTTCCTTTTTCTCTACTTCTTTTGTGTCTTTGCTCTGTTTGTGGTTGCTGTGCAGGGTTTTGAACTGTTGGTTGCTGTGCAGGGTTTTGAACTGTTGGTTGCTGTGCTGGATTTTGAACTGTTGGTTGTTGTGTTGGTTGTTGTTGTGGTGCTGGATTTTGAACTGTTGGTTGTTGTGTTGGTTGTTGTTGTGGTGCATGCCTGTGTCTGTGTCCATGTGACGATGTAAATGTTTTAGGTAGTCCTGGTGCAGGTGCTTCTCTTGGAGGGTTTGGTGGTATATAAGTTCCACCACTGGCACATATGTTCCATCTGCAGCATAATGTCTACCTGACTTTTCGTTTTTAAGAAAGCATTTACTAGGTCTGTTTTGGTCTGTTGTAACTCTTTTTTTGACTTTCCACAACAGTTGCTCTAACGGCGTCATAGGCACTTTGAACTGCCTGTCTCGTTGCTGCATCTGTTATTTTCGTCATATTTTGTGCTACTTCTCTTAACTCTTTGTCGAAACCTTCAGACTTCAGTTTCTTTCCAGATGAGAAGTCGTTCACTAGTTTCACCTTACTATGAAGAGCTTCGAAGGCATTCTTAAAGTCAGCATTCATTAAAGCTTCATTTGAACTGTCTTCATCCGCTTGTATTTTTGTCCTTATTGACCCTATAAGTTGGGCTGCTTTAGCGTTGGCTTGGGCATCTAACCAGTCATTATTAGCTTTTATATATATTCTGCGCTTTCATTGCCTTTTGCATGGCTGCGTCGTTATTTTTACTTTCTTGTGCTAAGTTTTCATACTGTACGGTTTGGTTTTGCAACTGTAAAAGTTTTTCTGCCTTTACATTTGCTTCAACTTCTTTTTTATACTCATCGCTATCCATATATGTCTTCAGGGCTTTTTGTTTTATTTCTTCATCTTTCAGTACTTTATATTGAGTAGTATGGTTTTTCAAATTTATAACATCTTGTTCCATTTTTGCTACTTCTGCTGCTTTTTCTGACACTTTTTCGCATATTCTCTGTACTTAGTTCTTTCAGTTGTTCTTCTTTCTTTTTTTCTCTACGTTTAACTCATTGAGTTTCTTTGTGTGTCTGTCATATTCTAGTTTCTTTTCGTTTTCACTTATTTGTTTCTGTATGTCTATGTTTGACTTTTTGACATCTGTTATTTGATTTTTGAGTGAACTCAAATTCATTTGACTTTGAGGGTTATAAGCTGTTCCGTCTGCAGCTCCACCATAGCCTGCCATTTTCGCTAAAAGTGCCGCTCTTAAACCTCCACTCTGTGCACCAATAACTCGGTTTAAAAGCATAGGGTTGCTTGACATTTGTTGCAACATAGTGGGGTCATTCATCATTTGTTGTTGCAACTGTTGTTGTGGTGTCAGTTTTACTATTGGATGTTTCAATGCTCCCTTCCTCTTATGTATATTCTTACGTAGCTTACGTGGCATTTTAAGTGAAGTTAAAAAGCGGTTTTTGACAGATGTTTATATGACACTTTTTGTTCAGCACAAAAAACTACTCGGTCAAAGTGTTGTCAGTTTTGTAAAATAACCGTCCTATCTCATTCTATAAGGGAGAAAAGGCTTCTCAAAGTATACTTCCTTGGAACGCCTGTAACTTTTCCTGTAGCGACGATAGACCCTTACTTGTCCGGACAAAGTTATACTATTTTGAGTGCTCTACCAAAAAGTCACCGGCTGGCTCGTCCTCAGAAATTTTTTATGGGCTAGAGGGCGCAACGCGCCTGGAAGCCCCACTACCTTTTTTTATGAAAAAGGATGATATTTTCCCGAAGAAATTTTGTTCGAGCGAATTTTGTGTGTGAGTAGGGGTATTACGATGTGAGGTGAAATCCACCACCCGACACTTCGTATTTTTCATATCATTTCATGATCCTCTTTATTTGGTGGCCTGATCTTTTGGTAAATATCAGCACATATAATAAGGATAATAACTGAATATTAACTAAGGATTCTCATTTTTATATAACTTATCAGATTTTGAAATGTGACCAAAATCATGAGTTTTTTCATTATGTGTATATACTTAGGCTATATTTTACTATTTTAGTATTAAAAATATTCACAGACAAATTTTAACAAAATCTTATAATTGCATTTTTTATTTTTGATCGAAAAACATATAGTTTCACAGCATATTATATACATACTATTCATGTACTTGTAGGTATGAATGTGTTTTAAGCTATAAATATAGTGCTTATTAAGATTTGTGATTGATGATTTCACATTATTCCTAAGATTCTTAAATAAATATGTCAATTTATTATACTATGATTATATATCATTCTTTATTGTTTATAAGCTTGTATTCAATATTTTATAGAAAAAATATCTTATATATGAAAGACTCATTTGATATCAATGTTGATGTAATTAGTAGATATGATTTCATGAAATTTGTAATAAGTTTTACAAGTAGATAAAGTTAATGAATAGATAAGTAAAATTTGTATTAGTGAAACAATTTAATAAAAAGTATGTAGATGAGATATTTATATTTTGTAAAGTAAGATATATAAGTGTAAGAGTATGAAATCGAAAAATCAAAATTTAAGATTTAATAATATGTAAATTGTTTATTGAGCTTGTAAGGACGATAGTATTTCTTTGATTGTATTTCAATTTCATACATATTTAAGCTTTTTAGTCAGAATCTTTCAATGTTCATTGAAAAAATCTGACTAAAAAGCTTAAATATGTATGCAATTGACAAAAACATCCATATCTTGTCATATGGATGCTGTAGCTTAGTAATTGGGGCGACTTGCCTCGAATTCCAGAATATGGCGCTAATCCCGAGGTTCAAGTCGCCAAATTTGTATGTAAATCGATATGGCAGCCCCTGTTCGAATAGGAGCTGCTATATTTTTTTGTTTAATTTAATTATCTCCGGCATAATTGAAGACATTTGCCAAATCCATGAGATAGGTCACATGTCTTACCGGAGGTTTTATTTTTCAACATTATTTGATGTGGCCTTATTCATCAAATAGTGTTGGAAAATAAAGGAGACTGAGATAATAAAGAACCATTAAAATAATGGATATTTAAAAGTGACTAGTCATCAATAAAAATTATGATTCTAAAATTTAATTTATTAAATAGATGGAATATTTTAATTATAAATATTTCTTCTCAAAAATCGCGATCATCTCAATTTTAGATTTTGGAAAATAATTTCATATTTGATTTGATATATTATTCACTACAAAATAATTCAAACTAACTAAAAATTTGTTTTTATTCAATTTTATATTTTTCTTCTCAAAAATCGCGATCATCTCAATTTTATATTCTCCTTTCTTTATCACTTTTCAAGCTTCCATAAATTTCTTTCAATCAAAAACATTTAATTCCAATTTAAAACAAAATATATTTTTATTTTATCACAAAAAATTTTAATTTTCAGTCCAATCTCTGAGCCTTTTACGTTTTATTGATCTTCTGTTTTTAACTTCTGGCGGTTTTACGTTTGGGCTTTCTGCAACATTGTCAAAGCTTATTTTTAATTCCTTAATATCATCAATCAAGTTAAGGTAGCTTGATTTTTTGTAAAAATAACCAATTTCACTTGTTATAGAACTTGGATCAATCCCAATTTTGTTTTGGAAAATATCTAAAAAACTATGGATATGTACACAGTGTAATAAGGTTCTCTTGTAAAATGGACATTCGCAAGTTATTTTATGTCCTTCTTCCATAAATATCTTGTATTTTGTATTTTTATATATGTGCCGCGCGAGATAAAAATTTGTGTGTTCTACTTTATGAACTTCCCAATAAAATATATCCCTCTCTATGTTGAATAAATTTGTATTCAAAAATTCATTTTCCATAGCTTTTGAAAATAAGTCATGAATTTTGCTGTATTGATACATGCTTATGAAGGAAAACCATTTGATTATTTCATCCAAGTCCATAGCTTTTAAAATGCTATTGAACGATTCTATTACAGAGCTGCTTAAAAATCCATGATCGAATTTTGAACGATTAAATGGGTTAATACTTTTAAGATCATCGATGAAAGCGGAGACCTTTTTGCTTTTATAATTATAAATTTTATAAATTTCAGATTCAATTTTTGAAACTTGTGTATCCCATTCTTCTGAGGAAAGTGCATTTGTAATTTTCAAAATTTGAGGCCGAACTCTAATAAAATCGGGATTCTTAGCCAAATGAAACAAGCATAATAAATGAAATTGTGATAAATTAAGCTCATCAAGAGCTGATTTTATTCCTGTACCTTTATCTGATATTATGTATGTTATTTTCTCTTCAATTTTTAAGCCTTTACCTGTTACAACTTTGATGAAATTATTCAAAACGACTTTGATTAGTAACGAATCTTCGGTTTTGCCCCAACCAAAACTAAGAGGAAGTGGGGATCTGTTCGGGAGGGTTATTGCCAAAATGGCAATATTTCCACCCGCAACTGAATCAATGTGGATAGCGTCAATTAAAAGGAGCTTATTAAATACTTCTGATTTGATAAAATAAGATGCCACAGGTGTAATTAGTGAAATCGCATCAATAATTAATTCTTCTTCATTTGTTTTATTTAAAATATCAACATTATCATAAATTTTCCCATCATGTGTAACAATATGACATATACCTCCTTTTTCATTGATCAATTTGTAAAGTTGATATAATTTCGAAAAACTCTTCAATCTTTTGGTTTTTGTAAGTCCCTGCAAAGAATTCAATCTGTCATTAAACGTACGATGATTTACAGGCCATCCAATAATCGAGTTTACCTTGTTCCAAAATTCTGGAGTATCGTATGTAATATTGATTGACATTAAAAGATAATCTTTGAGAGTTGTGTGAATTTTGGTGTTATATTTGCATTATGAGTGATCGTGCACCTCGTCTTTCTCTACAAAATATTTCCTTGTTTTTCTGTTAAAATGGAAATAATACTTTACGCCACAAGAGCAAATGAAAAACTTATCATTTGAATCATATCTGAAATAAAATTTATGCTTTGAACCAACTAATAAAACTTTTGGAATTAAATCTATTAATGAAGACGATTCGCATTGAATTAATTCCTGTTCCATTTCGGTTATTTCTGTATTTGTGTGATATAAATTTGTATCTGGTAACTTTTCGGAATAAATGATTTCTTTTATTTGTTGATTAATAAATATTGATGGAAAAACAGGGACATCCGTATTTTTAATATCTATTTCAAGGATGCTTGCGATTGTATTAAGGCTTGATTCATGAAGTTTAAAACGCTGAAGAGCTTCCATATGTTCAAAAAGTGACACTGAAAATTTTTATAATAACGTATCATATATATACATATATATTATGGCATTCCAAACGGGAACCGCGGTTGGTTACCATGGATTTCCGTCACCGGTCACATTTTAAAGATTTTTAAAGCCTTATAAAAATATGCTTTGTAAATCATTTTTTGTAAATCGGCAAAAATTTGGTAATTTTCTTCAACTAATAAATCTGCGAATAGCATTTATAATACAAGAACAATCTTTTAAAATGCGTTTGATTCATTTTTGTATAATTTCATATAGGCACATATATTCTTCCGGGACTTTCCGTGATTTTACCGTAAAATCATTAGTTTACACCAATTTTTCCGTATTTTGAATAGTTTACTGCACTTTTTCCGTAAAATTGAGTTACGGGAATCCGCAAAATTTCCGGACCTCATTTTTCATAGAATATAATAATAATATTTGATAAAAAGATATATTATTTATATTTTTGATTTTTGAATTACGGAAAAAGTGAATTGATAACTTGATTTTTTTATATGGTTAATTTTTCAAATGATATTATGAAGATCTAAAATATTAAAAGTAAAAAAATTGAATTACGGAAAAAGTGAGGTCAAAAGTGAAATAAATTTGCAGAACAATTTTCATTGAAATAAGCTTTATTTTTCATTATTAATAACAATGCTGTAATAAACAGAAATTCATCAAAAGTGACAGCTCTCAATTTTTTGACATTTGTAAATTCTAAATTGAATGAGAAAAATGAAATAATACTAAGCATAATACAATATTCTAGATTTAATTATAATTAGGAAAAAGTTAGTTTTGAGAGTACTTTTCATAGGCATATAGAATGAAATCTTCTGAAAAATAATATCATATAAACTCATATTATTTTCTAATATATAACTATTTTATATAAAAATCAAATTCAATGATCTTAAAAGCGAAGGATAAACCTCAAAATTTACGAATATAATGAGTGGGAATATAATGCTTATCTATCATAAAACCATATGAAATATCAATTTTTGCTTTACGCCTAATTTTTGACGACAATTAGCAAAAAATGTTAAATGTTAACACTCAGTCCATTTGAATATGAAAAATAAAATTGACTTTGATTAAATGTTTTTATTTATCATGCAATTCTTCTTGCGACCAAAGATTTGAATCAAATTTCAAAAAATAAGATAGCTTAAAAAATAATATACGGTAGTGTTTACTAATAGATGAATAGTATATAAATTCTATTAAAATGGATTTGATCCAAAAAAATATATAAAATTTGATCATAAATAAAATCGTTTTAAATTACTTCTTCATTTAAATTATAACAATTATTTTTGGTTTTATAGTTTTTAAAGCTCATGTGGTTTTTTTAACCACAGAATACTTATGTGCTGTAGCAAGCTTGCAATCCAAAGCTCACGTTAGACAACAAGAGTCATGAAGTCTCATACTAAGGGATATCCAACATATATTTTAATAATCTAATGTTTGTGACAAATATTCAACATAAAATTAAGTTTTCGTTTCGTTACAAGGCATTCATACTTTGGAGATATCATATTTAATGTACAGAAAAGTTAATATTAAACAATACATGCTAAAGAATTAATAAATAAGATAATAAAATAAATTTATACGTAATTACTTTCATTTAATATGCTTTATGCTGTATAATATTGATTAAGAGGCATTAATGTTGCATGCTAAGATCAGTCATAATGTAAACCTCTCAATTTTATTGTCGTGGGAAGTATCTCAATTCCTTCAAAAAAATTGAAAAAATATTTAATTTTAAAAATATAATCCTTTTAATTAGTTCATTAATTGGAGATATTTTTTTAAAAATCACTTTTGATAATACTTTTGAGAACTTTAATTAAAAAAATATATTCAAAAATATCCAGGATATCAAGAGGGAATTGTTCCTTATGAGGTATATAGTTATGATGTATACCTCATAAGGAACAATTCCCTCCTTAAAACGAGAAAACTTGTTCGAAATTGTTTATCATTTCGAACAAGTTTTCTCGTTTTTAATAAGAAACTAAAGGCTATGAGGCACTGATTATATATTAGTGCCTCACAGCCTTTAGTTTCTAATAGATAGCTGGGAAACTTTCTCCAAATGATAAGTTATTCAGAGAAAGTTTCCCAGCTATCAAGAGGGAATTGTTCCTTATGAGGTATATAGTTATGATGTATACCTCATACGGAACAATTTCTCCTTAAAATCGTAGACATTTTTATACTTATTAATCAACCATTCAAAATCATATTCCTCTGAAAAGTTATTTTATTAAAAATTTAGAATTTTAATAAATATAGAGTTTGAATTTCATACAATACCTATATATTTTCAATAATGGAATTTGAAAACCATTCTCAAAAGTTCTCAGAAAACCTTTTTTTCATTAATTTTAAGAAATCTGAGTATTAAATTAAGTGATAAATTCGTTTGACACTACTTTAATTTTTAAATTCAAAAAATTATATGTGCTTCTTAAAATGACTCAAAAAAATTTTATTATAAAATAATATATAATATTAAAAATCCCACAACATTTTTTTACTTTACATAATCGTACTTCCTCGACGATTAATTTACACTCAATTTCTATCGTTGACCGAACTTAGCATGCAACATTAAAAGGTTCCATAATCTGCTTTTATAGGCAAGATTTTTGATAAAAATTTTAAATTTTGAAAAATGATGAGAAAAGGAAAAAAAAAGGTAAATGAGAGCAAGAGGAGGGAAAAAAAGAAAAAGAAAAGGAAGGGAAGGGAAAAATAAAAGAAAGAAGGACATATAAAAATTTAGATGCGCATTCTTAATGCCGAGGCGGCTTGCCGCCGAGGCGCGATTTTTTTAGGCCTCTACGGTAACCCGGCAATGTTTTTTTAAATCTTGTACAGCCCTAATATATATAAAACAGATTAATAAAATATTCAAATTAATTTCAGTTTTTTATTGATAATTTGAAAATAAAAATTTGAATTGAAATAAAAAAAAATCATATTATCAATAAAACTAGTATAATTCTTGTTATGTCTAATAGGCAAACTTTAATTTAAATTAATAATGTTTTGAAAAAGAGAATTGAAATGACATTATCCTTTCGTATATCTTATAAAAGTAAATTATATTACTATTTTTACCATATAGATTCAAAGTGTTAAAAGATTTCAAGGAAAAATAGGCGAGATTGCTGCTTTTGAAAGTCAATAAAGATATTTTAATGAAATATAGGGCAGATAAAAGATAGAAAGGTTTTATTTGTATTAAATACCGTATAGTTCAAAGCGATGGGCAATAACTGTAATTTTATCTTCTATCTCAGTATCATAATCTTCATCTAGCAGAGTATCATATAGTTGGTTGACCGCTTCTGATTTTTTGTTAATGCTCACCAATTTGACCATTATGTTATCAAATATTGTAATTTTAAACAAAATATGAATGTACCATGGGAAAAATTCAGTAATTTCATATTGTAACATGAGTTCAATCATAGATTCGAGTTTATCTAGGTGCTTATTGGAGCCCAATATTAAGTTTTTACAGCATTTTATATACATGAAAATAAATCTCGAAGTCTCATCACACTTTTCAATGCTCGATTTTTAAAAACTGTTTAAAAATGGAGCTTATATTGAAATAGTGTAGAGACTAAAAATTACCACTCAATTTTATTTGATAGAAAATTAATAAGTTCTTCAGATTCATTTTCATATTTTTCATATTTGCTAAGATATGTAAACAATAATAGAATATTTTCTGAGGTTAGCGTCTCTGAATTCTGAATGAAATCTTTGAATAAACCAATTAAAAATTCAATTTGACAGAATTCTAAAAATGAATACATTGATCTATCAGTAAAAACGCAAATGAATTTTATTATACCCGATTGAATTTGAATATTGTTTGAAATATTTTGTGAAAAGAAATTGTTTTTACTGAAAAATATGAAATAATCATTGAAAATGTCATAAGGATTGTAATTGTTAACTATTGAAAATAAATTTTCTTCAATGATTGAATAAATTTCAAAATCCAACAATTTTATGCTTGTGATTATGAATAAATACATTTGTACATCAAAATTGTATGGAAAGGCATTGAAATATTTCAGAATATATTCAAACCAAAATTTATTAACTATTCCATTTTCGTTGATAATTTCAAAAAGTAGACCAAAAATATCGTCAATTTGAATAAATACTTGATTATGATTATTCAATATTTGAATAATTTGGCGACTTGAACCTCGGGATTAGCGCCATATTCTGGAATTCGAGGCAAGTCGCCCCAATTACTAAGCTACAGCATCCATATGACAAGATATGGATGTTTTTGTCAATTTCATACATATTTAAGCTTTTTAGTCAGATTTTTTCAATGAACATTGAAAGATTCTGACTAAAAAGCTTAAATATGTATGAAATTGAAATACAATCAAAGAAATACTATCAAGATTACAAACTTATTACAAAAATCACTATATTAATTTGTCGTTAATTTTAAATATACTTTTTATTCAATT